AAAAAAAAAAAAAAAGAAAAAAACTGCTGTTTAAAAAGTGAATTAATTCGTGGTTCTTTTTTTACTGATGTATTTCGATATTAAATGTGCTGAGCGAAATTTTTGACAATAAAATTATGGTAGAAAGTGACCTGAAAACTGGCATTTGCACAAAGTTGAAGGGATTAAAGAATATTTATCTGCTACAATATTGACGTTTGCAAATTAGAATCTCTTTATACTACGGAACGGCTATGTACAACAATCTGTAGCACAAGGTGGAATGCAGTGTATTTCGCTTGATTTCGGCTAGACCTCTTAAATGTTACCAACGAGAAATGTGCTGTACAGCCACCGTCAATGGGTCAAAAAAATGCTTCTCACTTTATCGCATACTCATTTAGAACTATTGGCGAAAGTTCAGAATGATATCTGTATATAAAAAATCTTACCCTACGGTCTCAGCTATGGTACAACCACAAACATGTCGGTTCCTGAGTACTACCGGTATGATACTAGGAGAGGACCGTAGTTTCCTTAATTTGTCCCCTACGCGTGAGCTTCTGTAAACTATCGATGCGCTCGCTATAAGGTAAAAATAAGGTAAATAAGATAAAGGTAAAAGGTAAAAAAAAATTAATAAGGTAAAAACTAAAAGCGCCGCTGAGAAAACCTCTTCAACAAACATCAAAAAATATTATTTGTCTGAACGCAGCGATCACAGATATTTGCAGAAGTCCATAACCTGTTAAAAATTCACATAAAATTAAGGTTCAGAAGTCTCGTACGAAGAATAATTACGCCAATCAGTGGGAGGTAAAGGTTATAGTATTTGTACTACACTACACTCAAAAGCCTCATTTTTTTTCAGAAGTAATTATAAAAGTTTTTTCCCCTCTCAATCCACTGCAAATGCTTGGAGACTGTTAACAGTGATTCACGTAATCATTTGACTCCAAACAAATTATACACAAAAAATTATAACCAATTATAAAGAAAACTGCTCGTTTTTTGACGCCATCGGAGCAATAAAAAACTAATTTATAATAAAAAAACTAGTATATCTTTTAAGAATACCATAAGGGCATCCGTTTTACATTTTCATCAATAAAAAACAATTTACTCGCTCCTTTCGAAATAGTACATAGGTTACTTGCGTTCAAATTGGAAACTGATGGTCCTCACTTTCTTTTTTTTGCACTTTAAAATAGTTTTAAAAAGCGGGGGTAATCAATCTAGAAAAATTATAATTCAAAGCCATTCAAGCTTTTCTCGAAGACCTCCCCTCCATCCCCCAAGTTAGTAAGACCCAAGTAACAAAGAAACACTCGGAAATTTTCAGAAAAGCGTTCATTTTCAAATTAAAATTTCAAGTAGTTTGGCATGCAACCAGCATGAACCATAAATTTCCCTATATTCCGATTCCACTTCAACTGTTATAACATCTTATACCTTTTTGAAGTTATAGTAAAAGTAATTTAGTGCTGAAAGTATTACACATATTAATGTTGTTGTTAAAAAACAATTTTTCTATGTTTCACCTACGAGGATTTCAAAAAACCTCAAAATAACTATGCAGTAAAAATAAATTTAAAAAGTTCTTTTCGCAGTGACGTTTGGCAAACCAGGTATCAAACACAAAATTGTTTACTAAAATCAAGCGCTTATGAAGAGTCAGAACAAAGAAAAGCGTTTAAAGAATGACTAGTTATTTTAAAATTTACAAAAATTGCAGAGTTACTTGGATTACCTCACAATCCTCACAAAAAACAAAAAAATTTCTTTCTCTTTGGGTCTTACAGAAGTCCTATTCGAAACTAGCGTGCATTAAGACCGTCAGAAGCTGCGACTGGTTAGCACTTTAAAAATAACTCTTTGGAAGCACAGTCTTCCGTTCGGAAGTTTATGCCATAGCTTCATTACACGCCTATAGTTTTCAGACAATGAAGTCAAGAAAATTATTCTTCTAATGCCTGAGAACGTACTAACTATCAGCATTAACTAAATTAAAATGAATTATTTGAGATATAAAAAAATGACGACAATTTGTCGGCAAGTTGCCAAAAAGCGAAAATAAGTTTATCAAGATCAAACTCTGCAGAAGCTAAATTGTAATGCAAGTGGTAATTCAACTGTAACTGAAAGCATCCAGTTTTGTAGTTTTACTGCCGAAATGCGTCAACAACTGAGTTAGGATTAGGACGGTTACGAAAATCAAAGAAGGAGATACTGCGAAAAAGTAAACTGAGTAGGTACTACACTGCCTGGCATCCTGCCAAAGGTGGAAACTTTTTTGGAACAGTTAGAGGTGCACCATAAACAGGAGATTTTTCGTATCTAAGTTGTAGTTGACAACTGACCATATCATATATATCAATAGGCAGGCAACTTCTAAAAATAAATTTTATAACTGTTGTGCAGGAGGCAACCCTAGAAGAAGCGGTAGGGTGTGAAGGTTGTTGCTGAAGGTAACGGGAACTTGGTGCAAATAAAAACATTTTCGAATCCGTACTAATACCTGTTTAAAATTTTCTGAAATGGTGAAACGAAAATCAACGGCTCAGCATCCATTTAAAGTTAGTTAGTTAATTTTATAGTATATTATTGTACCTTTTTTTAATTATTACTTATAATTGAAACAATGGGAAAAGGTAAGCTATGGGAAGTTCTGGCATTTTAATCACTTATGATTAGAATTCTCAGTTACTCACTGATTCATTCTGATTTTAGTTTATTTCCTTTGCTGAGCAGTTGTCTAAGATAAACATTGACATTACGAGATGGAAAACAGCTTTACCTACCACCACGGAGGATAAAGAGACATTTTTTCACGATGCGTTGGCGCGAGGTGCAGAATCCGACTTTGGCAGTTACTTCAGTAAGTCTGACAGTTCTTATACTATCTCCTTTAACCTAATTGACGTTTGGACGACTTTGAAGGAGTTATGTTTAGAGGCCTTTCTCGACGATCTTCCGCTAATGGAGGGCGAACTGCGTACTTATGCGCAGCTTTTATTTCACCAAAAACTCGTATTTAACACGCTGCTTAAACATTTGTTGATTAAAGGGAACACTTCTCTGCCCACACTTCTCGAGTGAGTTTCTTGGTATTTTTGTAGCTGATGGGTGCAAATAGTACTTTTTCCAGTGATGAGCCTGGTTTTGGATTCTTTTATTGATTTTTTTTCTTGATTTTTTGCAAGGTATTTTTGAAAAGGTTGTTTTTTGAAAAACGACATTAAAAAATCTTTTTTTTTTTTGGAATTTTTGCTGGAATGGGTTTTCTTTTTTCGCAATATCTGTAAAGATTCTGATTTTAATGTTTATTTTTGCTCAAGGATTATCTTTATTCTGCATTTTTTATAGCTTGAGAGAAGTAGAGGACATGTTGTTTGAGTGATTATTTTTTTTGCTTAATTCTAAAATTTCTGATTTTTCCTTCTTTGTTAATTACCATTCTATGCAGAATAACACTGGCCTTTGTGCGAGACTTACGCGAGGATATGGGGCCTTATTTGTGGGACTTATTTCGGACAGTAATTGATGTTGTTGAGAACTGTGAGGAAAATGTTGAAGTTCTCGAAAGTGCTTTTCGCGCTCTAGCCATTATTTTTAAACTGCATTGGCGAATAATCGTTAAAAAACTTCGACGGACATTTATGTTCGTTTACTTCTAGTCATTACTAATTGTTATTTTTAAGAGAGCCTGTGTAAATTTTATTCTGTCTTATTTCTATGTTTTATTAAAAGGCGCTGAAATTTTCATCTTTTTCCACACCTTTCAGTCGTTTTCAAAGTTTGTTTTCGAGCAGTCGGAGCTATATAAGGCGTTTTGCGGCTGAAGCTTTTGCATTTTTGTTAAGGAAATCTAGTGTGATTGGTAAAGTTGTAACGTTTTTAACGGAAACGGTTCAAAAGGTTAGTTTTAAAAGCTCACTAGTTTAGAGGATTTTCTGGAAATCATATTACTAAAGTGCATCATTCTGAAAATGCTACTTCAAAACACCTGTGCAGCTTAAAGTATCAGAACTTTTTGTGGAGAAGTTGAGTTCAAATGAG